CCAAAAGAACTAATACAGAAAGATAAACATCACATAGCTAAATTTACTCGCCAATGAAAAATGACATAACAAAATCTGAAGGACATGCCCTGAGAATAAACTCGACAAATATTAGTACCACAATTTAATTTACATCTAAAAATGATATATATGTTAGATGAAAGTGTGAACATGATCTGGTATACCTCGGATTGTAGAAAATCGTGAAAGGACTTTGGTTAGCGGCAACATGAGCTGCAGCAGCAAGGATGCCAATGTGCATGCTATCAGCAGAAAGTACTGATGATGGCAATGTTGTTGTTTGTTGACGATTAGCACGCCTTACACCAACTCGCAATTGTGATTTCTCATCCCTTGAAACAATTGAAACATCACATTTAGTACAGAGTCATGTCATGTTGAAGCAACTCGACAAAAATGAAGCCAACAACAAAACTTACCTGATAAAAAGAACTGAATCGCCCGCTCTAAGCGTTTTTGAGTCGACAAACAAACTCCATCCTGTTGTGAGAAGGTGTCTCTTCGGCTGACCTACATGAACAATGTAGGGAAAAAAACGTAAGGATCTAAACCGGCCCGGCTCTTTTAAGAGTAAATGCTTCAAGGTTAAGATAATGAAACAAAGTAAAAAAGAATGAACGTAACTATATGTGCAAGAGTCAAGGAATCGTGTACGACTGTGACACATATCAGACACCAGACACATTTAATATAAAGTGACAGCGAAAGATGCCAAGTAAAAGTAGAAAACATCCTCACCTCGGTATATATGTCGAAACGTCCATGTATTATCATGCAAATCTCTAACAACAAGTTCTTGAGTTGGAGGTTGAATTGTGTAATCCTAAATCCAAAACACATTAATCAAATAACGATTCTTGTAGAGTAAAAAAAAAGGTTTGCAAATTCAACCAAACTAGTCCTATGTAGCCTTACGAGTGGAGGAAACAGCTTCTCAGCAGCTCTGCGCGGAACCGAAAAGCCACCATGTGTGCTAGTATCACTAGCAGTCAAAGTTTTGCAGAAAAACTCGGTTGGATGTTTACTTTGGCTCAATCCAAACTCAGATACAGGAAACACTTCTTTATCCTAACAAAAAAAAACAATACAACACAACATAATCAATCTTAAACACTAACAATAACATTTAGATGTATAATAATAACAAAATTCTAGAACTAAGATTTCTTATAACTTACAGAATTCAATGGTTGAAGAGTCATTTGAGCATAGATTTCATCCGTTTCCTTATCAGCCTATCATCATAATCATAACAAAAAAATTAAAGATTAAAACTTTGAAAATGAAATAAGTGATCAAGGAAGAAAAGGTGGTAAAAAAAATTACTGACATGTAGTGTGACATTTTGAACTTGACACAACAACTGAGAAGGAAGATTAGGATAGTTTGGAACCTGTGACGTTGCTGTTCTTCTAGTAGAAGCTGCAACCTAAACACAAACAAAAAAGAAACAAATCTTAAAGGGTTTGTAAATATACAAAATCAAGAAAGAAAAGAAAAAAAGAACTTTTAAAAGAGACTACTTCACCTGTTCACTATGTCCTTGAGGGAAGTAATAAACAAGACCTCCCACATGAGGTAAAGTCACAAGAGGACCAGCACAAGCATGCCATAACTCAGAATTCAAACTCTTTCTCACCCCTAAAAAACATTAAACCATTAAAAATAAAAAAGTGATTATAAATGAAGCTATTAAAGAGAACTAAACAATTAACAAACATCAACATACAAACACACCACAATGTTCTTGCATTTCCTTAAGCAATTTAATCTCAGCAACAAGTCCTCCTCCAACACCAACACACCAACACCACAATGACTAAGTAGGTTTAATAAGGAATGGTTAATAGATTCCTGTGATATAAAAACAGCTTATTGTGAAGGTATTCACACAATCAACTTCTTATTGGATAAACATTCTAGTGCAGCATTAGTTTCTAAGGGTCTACTATGTATCAGGAAAAATAAACTAAAGGAAAAACGTAGGGTGTCTCTTCTATTAGCACCATAGCAATGGTACCAAATTGGTGAATAACCAACAAAGATGGTAATGATAATCAATTAATTAATTATATATAATAAACATACTAGAAATTAGACACTACTCAAATTATAATGCTTGTTACAATAGTAACTACTACTAATCTACTACAGCTGATCACATGTCAGTGTTTATAAACACAGATTTGACCTAATACTCTTAGTTAGGGTTTAGATACAACCATGTACTACTAAACCAAGTCGAAAAACTTACTGGTATAAAATTGAAGCTTTTTATCGAACTTGCGATCCGACTTTGAATCCGATGAATCTGACCTGCACACATGAGAAAATAACTCAATTATTTTCAACTTTAACATCATCTAAACCAATTTACACAAATATGATGCATAGGAAAATTGTATCCAACAAAAATCACATAAGCTACTTTCAATGAGAAAGAAAAGTTTAATATATTGCAAAGTAGATCTCACGCTTTTGTTTTATACCTATGCCATATGTGTTTTGCTTCTTAGTTGAAATGAGTTCAAACAATGATTTTGACAGCAGCACAGTTCAATAACCAATTTATCACAATCAAATCAAAGTTCACAGAAATTATCCTAATGTTTTGCTTCTTTGCAAAGCGCTTGGTTCTGGTTCGGTCCAACGGTAAGTGCAGCAGAAGGACAGGGCCTGATCCAGATGACAGGGGGCTTTCCCTCAAGAAAAAGTTATAGTTTACATATGTAGAGTGCGTGGAATGATTTCTTGTTTTTGTTGTTGCTGCATCAGTTAACTCACGAAGTTCTAGACTTTCGCTCTCTATTATTTTGAAATGCATGGCTTGTTGTGAAACATGTGTCTTCAATATATCCTAATGCACACACACGTTCTGGGAGTTAACAAGTGAGGCATTTGGTTCTTGTCTAACAAACTCCCCATTTTCAGTCTGGGAGTTAACTAAGTTAAGTTCTTTTATTTATTTATTTTCATTCATAATAATACATGTTAAAAACCACTATATTCTAACTAGTGAAATTCACGTGGATTAACAAAATTATGCATCTCCTATATAAATTTCAATTAAAAGAAAACAGTTTGTCAGCTAACATAAAACGTGCATCCCCATAAATGAATACAAACGAATACAAACGATAAACAGAATTACACATCAACAACATAATACTCTTTATATACCAAAGACACATATTTTGTATTGAATTGAAAATGGATTGAAAATGGTTCCTCTAGAATAGAATTGATTCTATTTGAAACTACAATCTATAGCTTGAGTTTAAACGCGATTTTTACATCGAAATTATTTGTTGAACTCACTTTTACATAAAAGTATCAAAACATAAATCAATTCTACAAAATCTAACTCACTCACACAAACACACACTACATGTAAATTACTGTATGGCATAAAAACTATAAACTATACAGAAAGCTTATGAAAAAAAAGCAGAAATGAGCTTATGAACAACCACAGATTCTTCTATAAGCACTACATAATCCAACACCCTAGAAGTTGTTGTAAAACCCTAGTATGATAGAAGTAGTGAATCCTGAGAAAGAGAAAGTACCCGAAAGAATTTGGACATGTAGTGATCTGTGAAGAAGCGGTTAATGTAACCAGCTTCGGAGCCTAAAAGAAGAAGGTCAGCAACCATCATGACCTTTAGGGAATCAACTTCCGCAACGGGATTATTGCAAACGGGCGTTGAGATTATGTCTTCTAAGGAAAGAAGAAAAGCGATTCCGAGAAAAGATAAAGCTCGTAAACCAATCATTGTTCGATTTGATCCAAAATTTCATGATTCTTCGTGCAGTCGGCGGCGGATCTGCGAGGAGACGGCGGATCTGTGAGGAGACGGCAGAGGGAGGATACGGGCGGAGGCGAGACGGGCGGAGACGGCGTAGGCGAGACAGACGGAACGACGTAGGTGAGACTGACGAAGTAGCGGCAAGGGTGCGTTCGTGGGACGGAGTAGTTGAACAGTGACGAAATAATTCGCATTCAGGGGTTATTTCAACATTATATATATTAGTTTTTACATCGGTGCAAGCATTGGCCCGATGTAAGGGTTCAGACGCTTATGTTTTTTACATCGGTGAAAGCAGTGGCCCGATGTAAGGGTTTGTAGGCTTGAGCTTTTTTACATCGCTTTAACGAATGGCCCGATGTAAGGTTTTTGATGTTTTTTACATCGGTGGAATAAATGGCCCGATGTAAGGGTTAGCCTATTTTTTATATTACCAATCTGCCATGGACTTTTTTACATCGGTGGATTGCAGGAACCGATGTAATATCTGGCCAGTTTTTTATTTACAATTCTGCCACCTGGTTTGTTATTTACAAAACTGCCACCGTGTTTTTTTCACATAACCTTTTACATCGGTGGATTAAATGGCCCGATGTAATAGATGGCGAAAAATAATTTTTTTTCCATATTGTTTATATCATTGCAAATAAATACCTGATGTAAAATGTTTTTAATTTTATTTTTTACATCGTATATTTTTATACCTGATGTAAAATGTTTTTAATTTTATTTTTTACATCGTATATTTTTATACCTGATGTAAAAACCTTTTCTCAAATGTCATTTTTTTAGTAGTGTGCAAGTAACACAAATTAGTTTAGTTGCTTAGAAATCATATACAAAAGATAATGAATATTTTCCAAATATGAAAGCATTACTTAGATCCACTTAAAATCGAGATAGAGAGCCAATATTCCTTCCAGAAGTGGTGAATAGATTTTCGTCACTTGCTTTTTCTCATACCAGGATGCAAACCAAAATGAAATGGATTATCGGGTTGATGTATCACAAGCACAAAAATATGCAGGTATCAAGACGAAATATATAATTACTCGAGGCTTTATTTTACATATAACATGATTCTATGGATGAAGAACTGGAACATAGATATGAAGTGAATATAATATTCAACACTTCGAGAGAAAAGAATAGAACCTTCAAAGATCTTTTTCAAATCTTGACGACTTGTGCGAGATTGTAAAACCGGCACAACAATATAGATAGGATCTGTAAGAGAGCGAGAAAAAAGATGGTTATTATTAATCAGGCTGAGAATAAACTTGAAGAAAAAAAACAGTTACATAAAAGAGAAAATGTAAAATGGGATATACGAAAAGTAACCTTTAGGAGAGGCAACGACATAATAGAGAGAACCAGTAAGGATAGCGTTAAGTATAGCTGTGAGTGCTTAAGAAAATGGAACAAATGGTGGTAGAACTCGTGTCTGCATATTACTGTATAAATTACGAGTTAGTTACCGAAATGAAACTTAGTTTCGAATATTTGAAACATAAAGAAAATGGTAGACGTACCTAAGACGTCATTCCTCGTACATCTTGAATAAGATTACTGCCTCATAAAAATATATCTGTCAGTGCCCCCTGTAGAATTCCAATAAGAATTTTAATATAGATTGTTTCAGACATACAATACAGATTTGAAACAAATCTAAATATATTTCTCAAACATATCTAGGCAAATTCGATAAAGTTCAGGCACAGAAGTTCTGAAACAAACTCGAACTGTAAATCTATAGAAGAGTTCCTCTCCTAGTGAACTTGCAGCAACCATCAGTATAAACTGTAAATTAAAATCAATTCCATCAATTTTAACGGTTGCAATAGACCATCGATAATTCATCATACAAAATGTACCAAGTTATATCAAATTACTTGCATATGAGACATGCCATAGGAAACACTCCATAGCTCTTCATCTTCTAAGTCTCTAATGGAATGAGCATGGGGCGATAACTTCACAACTTCATCCTAATAATAACCACGTCGATGAAAGCTCAATTCAAGTAAACAAATAGAAACCCAACCTTATGATAATTGTATAAACAAAAGAGCTTACATCAAGTATAAAAAGAAGATTCATTTTTCATAAAAGTAAACAAAAGGGTATCCATAAAGTTCCACACTAAAAGATACCAATCCCACCAGCATGAATTGTAAATGGACGATTAGCAAAAGTAAATAAAAAACATAACATGTGACATGATGGGCTTGAACAGAACAAGGACCAAATCTCCACGTTAACAAATTCTTAGTTATGACAATATATATGATATAAAGATATTCATATTACAAAGGATTAACGAATATGGAGATTTTCTTGGCGGTCAACTCTACTCTTACCAACGACAAGATATGATGTTGGTCGTTGTTGTAGCAACTGGCATACCTCAAGTATTTTTCTGACAGGCTCGCTGACTTTAAGAAGCATAACACCAATATTCTAATTTTTTGAATTTAATATTAAAATTCCAGCTCGTATGAGCTTCTCATATATTGCGTTTGTGGCCATTATCTGATTATTTCTTTGAACCATTTATGTACAGTTCTTGATCTGCTGCATGACAATTATGAAGCTTTTAGAGTTGAGGCCCCTTTTTGTGACTTGGTTTAATAGTACACCATAAGATAAGTAATATAATATGGAATGCAATTTGATTCCCGTTCTCACTTTTTTGTACTCATTGATTGCATAACTCAGTTCATATTCGCCATTATATATTTCAATTATTTCATGTTTTGGATATTGTAACTAAATAAAATAAGATGACTTTGTAACCAAGGAGAAATGTTTGCAGTCATATTGAATATGTGATGTTCATAATTCATCTTTTACATCTTCATCATAGGACGCACATGCCTTAGTAATTGACTCATATATTTGGATTCCTTTCAAGTATTCATCTTTGTGGATACAACTTCAAACCTTTTAGGTGCATGACATTAGGATACAACTTCAAAAACTTAAGGGGTAAAAAGTGTCAACGTAAATCAAATGTATAATCGCATAGAAAGTGACATGATTTGTAGGCATGAAAGCATGGCGTTAAATAATTAAATAAGCATAAAATATATTATACAAATCACCTCATTGTGGTCATGGAGTAGAATATGAGTGTTGTCTAGAGGTGAGAATCCAATAGCTGGCATTCCAAGATTGCAGAAACAACTTGCACCCATGGATGCAGGAAAGATATCTGGCTTGCAAAGTTTCCCACCGGCCTCTTAGACAATATTTCCTAACAATGCCGACCAAGGATTATAAATGCCAGTTTTGGCGACGACTGGTTTTCCACGTGCATTGCGCACAGACACGTTATGTTTGAACTGCTCGAGATAAAATATATTAGAAGGGAATCTAGTAAGATGTAATTTATTCTCAACTAATGGAAAGTTGTAATCAGAACATGTTACACAATACATCTACATCCACATCTGTACATATATGTACATATAATTTCAGCCCTACTTTACTGTTATTTTCTTTGTTCTGTACTAACCAAAACACCCAGCTTCCTCAACCATAACATTAACCTTTTCAAATAGAAAAGATGATAAAGTTGCGGAAGATGAAGGCCATGATCTGATACCATATCTGTTTATAGCCTCATATTGATGTCGCCTTTCCATAAGCTGCTCAAGACTGAAAGTTGCTTCAGCGATCTTCCTATAGTGTTTTCGTGTAGAACTTCGAGCGGCAAGATGTTGCCGAAAATGTCAGTTGTAGAGAAAAATACATAAACTTATTTTGCTATACAGTCCATCCCAAAAATAACATGAATGGAACAACTTTAACTAATAAACAAAATCAAACCTCTTTCTTTAGATAAATTTGACGTTCTCTTTCTGCCATAACTTTCTTGTGGGTAAGCCACTGATCGTGCCATTCATCCAATGAAGGGAGGCAGTCACATAAATCAGGAACATAAAGTACAGTAATCTCCTTGTGGCTAAAGAAACTATCTTTACCAATTCTATCATTATGTATCTCAAAAACACGCAACAACTTTTGGTGTAACTAACTTTTTTATGTTAAATGTGATATTATATGACCAAGAGAAATAACACTAATCTCGAATGAAGGAAATATTAATAAAAGAAACAAAGAGTCAATAGATGTTACAAAAATGATTAAACCTAGCAAATGTAATAAATCTCATCCATCTTAAGAAATGAGGATATACAAATTACAACAGTAGAAGTGAACACTTCAAATGATAGTTATTGACATTCTCCTTAGTGGCAACTTAAACATGAAAAGAAACAATAAAGAAAAATTAAACTAAATACCAGTAAATTTCAATAAATAATCATAAAATTAACTAATACCTCGAGGAACCGGTTCCATTATTGACATTTTTGCAGATGAAATTGACTAATATCCTCCGAGTATCTGTAATAAAATAGGGAGAATATCCATTATTTAATAAGGAGAAGCACAAATTTTCATGGGAAAAAAATCATGTCATGGTATTAAGATAAAAACCTAAAGACTGTTCTGATCAAAGAGTTATCATCATTAGATGGATCACCCCTATCAGCAGATTCCCATGGACCGCCAAGTGCATCCTTCTTAAGGATTGCAAACCTAAGGAAACTTCAAATATCGAGAATGCTGTCATCAAGAGATTTATCAGATGACAACTCCTCAAATGCACCTCTACTAAGCCCACTCATTAAAATTACCTTAAATAAGGAGAAAAAACTACCCATCAAACAGTAACACAACTACACAAACAGAATGGACTTCAAATCAATTTCTTTCTCTGGAGTTAGTTACATACTGTCTCTAGAGCTTGTTTATCACTTCCTCCACTGCATTAGGAGAGAATCTCATGCCATGCAATTTCTTTCTCAATTCAACTGTTGTAAGTGCCCAGCGGATTAAGGAGACATACATGCTTAAAACAAAAAATGGCATAAAGAGACAAGCGAATCGGCGTAAAGAAACAAACCATAAAAAATTGCTCACTTTTCATGATTGTTGTCCAAGCAAATAAGTTGAGTCATTGGAAACGTTAGCTCCCCCTAGGATCTTGAATAATAGAATCATTTTGTTGCCTTGAGGATGGATTGAACGAACTCGTAGAAAGTTTATTTGTTAATATCACTCTAATATATATGACATTACCAACAACCTTTTTTCTTAAATCAACGACAGGTAACGTGAAACAACATCGTCGAGGTTCCTTCATGGTTTTAACCAAAGTGTCAGTAAAAAGATTTTCCTGCATAGCAGACAAAATGAATACTGAACAACAACCAAGGACCAAGAAAGATTCGAAACTATTTCCATAGACCCAAATCTCTGTGCGAAATAAAAAATTTATACAACGATGAAGTTGCATGAGTTCTAATTAAGTCAACTTTTTCTAGGATTATTAGAGAAGGATCGTACTAAAGTTATAAGAGGGAACTGCAAATACTTGTTTTTGATATTCTCGATAGCAATGTATTCTCCTTGAGATAATTTGAAGATCTTTTTTCTGTCAATAATTTTCATGGCTCCATTTGGAAGCCATTCTCCAATGTCTCCTGCATTAATTTTTCAAAGCATTTCAAAACACACGACTTTTAGAGCATACTATTAACTTTAACACAAGAAAGCCAAAATATAGAAGTTCGTGATGAACTCATCGTCATGAGGACATACCTGTATGAAACCAACCATCATCCATAACCTCTTCTGTAAGATTCTGACGTTTGTGGTAACCGGCTAACAAAGTATTCCCTCTCAAGCAAATTTCTCCACAAGGTTGACTGGAGAGTGCGTCATTTCCCATATTAGGAACAGGCTCAAGCTTAGATTCAAGGGTTGGCATGGGAACTATGACTGTTCCCACCATAGAAAACAGATTGGATATTGAAGTGAAACACCTCGCACAACTTTCAATGAGACTTGTAACATCAAAAAGTAAAACCAAATCAAGAAATACCGAAAAAATTATTTTATATATATATATATATATATATATATATATATATATATATATATATATACTCCAATTATAACGGAACATTCAAATACTATAGTGTACCATATCCTTGTGTCAAGGTATATCCAAAAGTGACCCTCATAAACTCTTGAACGTGCTTAGACAAAGGGGCGGCTCCTGATAACAGGATTCAAACTCATCCACCCAACGACTATTTAATCTATCAATAAAACCAATGTTTCAAGTTTGAAACAAAATTTTTTGAAATAAAATCGTAGTTAAAAATCGAATTCCTTGTCAAACACAAGCCTATCGAACCAAGGTACTGCTCTGTCTTGTGGAAGACCACTATTTAGATATATCAATTTACTGTCAATGGAGTTTAGATTAGTATACAATAAGATAGAAATTGAAAGTTAGAAAAGTAGAATTCGTGAACGATTAAAAGTTGTCACCTTCAAGTTCATGTTTTGAATGAAGGAAACCATTTGATTGCTAGTGAATAACATTTTCCCTAATAAATTTTAATAGTTTTGGTGATTTTTGAAACATGTAGTAAGGGTGTTAAATTGGTTTTTACCGCTAACTGAACGGATTTAGATAAACAATAAGGTTTGGCTTAGCTTTGCGGGTTGACACAAACGTTTATTTTAGAACAATCACACTCTTAACTTTAATGCAATCATCAACTTCAGTTTTCAACATACTATTATCACTTATCAGTAACCATTGCCTTTTGTTCTCATGGCCACTAAAATTTTCAAAATCATATACTGGAATAAGGGTCACTACAATTTCAGCTAATATTGAAAACTATATATGTTTCTTAAATTGTAGAAAATCATGCCAAGCAAAACGTCATCATAGATCTTCATAAAGAAATAAAATAAGAGCAAAAGTCAAAGCAGTTTTGTTATCAATAATCGATTGTGCAATTTCTTTGCCGCCACCAAAGCATAAAAATCAAAATTTGTTCACATCAGCTAATCAAAAGATGACTTACCCCATTGTCATTTAAGTCGATAAAAAAATAGAAATCATTTGGAATCCGACCACAACCATAGTCATCGTCGTAAACGTGTTGTTAACCTCAATCGAAACTCAGGGCCTCAGCCGATCACCATCACCTAGCTGTTTCTTGTTCTCGGAACTCCCAGGACGGAGGTTGAGACTGTAAAATGACTTGTCGGAATCAGACGGAGATTGAAGAGATATCTGGTTCGAAAGTGAGGGAATGGGAAGAGTACGAATCGGTGATGGGAAGGTCGAGATTCTTTATTTTTTGTGCGCACGCCAATGATTTTTTATTGGGGTTTTGGGATTGGGGTCTAGGGTTTGGAAGGGTCAAATTCAGTGATTAAGAAACTACAAACGAGTCTTCCTCTATAGCATTTACTCCATGTTTGGGCATAGGAGCTGTCACAACATTAGGTCAGGTGCTTCGAACTCAATCTCCTTAGCATCAATTAAGTCTTGTACTTTGTTCTTCAAAACCCAACAATCATCCGTATCATGCCCCGGGCTATTAGAGTGAAAAGCACAGCGGGCATTCGGATCGTACTTCAGTGATGTTGTATTTGGATTCTTCGGGGCTTCCCTTGGAATCACTAAGTTGGTTTTCAATAACTGCGGCAGAATTTGGGATAAAGTCATGTTGAGCTGAGTGAACTGTCTTCGAGGTCTCTCGGTCCTTGGCTGATTGTTGTGCTGAGGAGCACCAGTAGGTCTTGAAATAACAACCGCATTAACAGCTTGGCGGCGTTCAGGTCTATTATGGCTTTTCGAACTGTAAACAGCGCTGGATTCCTTCTTAAAATATTTCTTCTCGGTGCTCAACGAAGCACCCTTCTGTATTTTGCCGGATTTAATACCAGTCTCAATCCTTTCCCCAGTCATGATCAGCTCTGTAAACCCGAACGAAGAACTCTCAATCAGATGGTTGAAATACGGACCAGATAAGGTCCCCAGAAACATATCCACAAGCTCCCTATCAGCCAAGGGTGGTTGCACTCTTCCAGCAAGGTCCCTCCACTTCCGAGCATAATCTTTGAAACCTTCACCCGCACCCATTGACATACCCTGGAGCTGGGTACGCGTGGGAGCGAGGTCGGCATTGTATTGGTACTGCTTGTAGAAAGCAGCAGCCAAATCCTCCCAATTATGTATGCTAGTTCCTTCCAACTGGTAAAACCATTCAAGCTGAGTCCCTGAAAGACTGTCTTGAAAGAAGTGGACCCATTGGTTCTTGTCAGCGGTGTACGGCTGAATCTTCCTAACATACGAACGGAGGTGTAGTTTCAGACAAGAAACTTCGTCGTACTTAGCAAAGGCTGGTGCTTTGAACTTGTGGGGAATCACCACCCCAGATGACAGACCCAAATCACCAAAGTCCAGACCAGGCACTTTCTGTACTTCCATCGCACTCAACCGGTCTTCCAGTTGCTTGTATTTATCCTCAGCCGGAGGATACTGGTCTTCGTCGAAGTCCGTCTCGTTGTCTAAGACCACAGGGCTAGGAGCCCTCCTTTCTTTCTGAATATCTTTCCCTCCAGATGAGGGGGTCAACTCAACTTCATCTCGTAGCCTGTTTCCAAACCTGTGTCCCATGTTAAATAGGATCGTCTTCTTCTTCTTCTTCTTCTTCTTCTCTTTCAAGATAAGGGCCTTCAGATCTTGCTGACCCTTAGCCAAATTCATGAACAATTCCTAGAACTGGGCGTTTTGAGCCTGCAGAGCCTTGATTGCTTGTTCAGTTGATGGTTCGGAAGACATGATGCTGAAATAAACAGCGAAGAAGATGAGAAAACCTGTAAGGGTAACTGTTATGAGGTGCATGGAATGAAATGCGTATGCTATGATTTCAAAGTCATCGAGAGATTCAAATTCGTAAACCAAACATGAAACACACTTTTATTAGATAAACTTGAAATTCAATTGTTCAACAAATTCCCTTAAGGCGTTACAAGAAAGGAAATACTGAAAAGTAAATAAAAACTGGAAATAATCAAAGGACATCAGTGCTCCCATGGTCGTTTGCCTTTAGTGCTGACATAGTCGTTGATGATCTGCTCATTCTCCAGCTGCCTAGTCAACTTTTGAATCTTCTGCTCTTGCTCGTGATACTTTTCTCTATAAGTATCCCGCTCTTCTCTCAACTGCATCCATGATCTCTTCAATGCCCCAATGTCAGTAGGCATGTAAGGGTGGAGAATCGTAGGAGGAACCCCTTCCTCATCAGCAACTTCAACAATGATAGGCAAGACGGCTTCGTAGGGAATTCCCAGCTTTTGGGAACGGATACGAACCCATCGGAGATATGGCTCCATTGGTAGAGAAGTCTTCGCACCCAGCTCGTGTGGATCAGACCTGTGAACTCTATCCCAAGCTCTTATGAATCTGCGGCGTTGCTCGTCACTATCCCTTTGGAAATCAAAGACAATACTAGGCATCAGTAACTCATGAGGTCCTTCCCTCCTAGCTCGCCCGAACTGATGCAAGGCCAAGCATGGATTATAAGTGATTCCTCCATTGGTTCCTATCAGTGGAACATTGGGGTATTCCCCACAACGATCAATAATAGCCACTTCGTCCATACCCTTAATGGTCCAAATGATGTCATTGTGAGAGAGAGAGAGAGAGAGACATAACCTTATAAGCCCAGCCCATGCCTTCTTTGTTCTTCAGAACTGATTTGGGGAGGTGAGAAATAAACCACCTCGCCAACAATGGAGCACAGCACATCAAGGTTCCTCGCTTCCGAGCAGTACGGGAATAAAGCTGATGAAGAATGTCACCCAAGAGAGTGGGTACAGGGTTACCTGACATAAAAATCTTTACCGCAATTACGTCGAAGAAAGCATCTGAGTTAGGAAACAATACCAAACCATATATGAGAAGAGCCAGAATGTCTTCGAAGGCCTGGAAGTCTAGGCTGTCCCAGAAATGATTTGCTTTACCAACCAAAAACCTAGTCAAAAAGCCCTTTGCTCCACTTCTAGTCTCCCAATTAGACATCACTTCAGCCTTTGTCAGATGGAGGGCTGAAGCAATCTCTTCTGGCCTAAGGATCTTCTCCCAACCTGTGAACGGGGTCTGCTCCAGAATAGAGATACCCAGTAGATCAGAGAACTCTTCCAAGGTAGGGACCAGCTGGTAGTCCGGAAAAGTGAAGAAATGGTACAGAGGGTCAAAGAACTGGACTAAGACACCCATCATCTGTTCGTCCAATTTGGAAGTGACCAAACTAAGAAGGTGCCCATGTCTTCTGATGAAGGAAGTAGTATCTGACATCTTTGCAACCAAATCTTTAAGCAGAGTGGGAACCTGGACAAAGTTGATCCGGATGGTGTTTCTACGCATGGGTGCCATGACCTACAAAACAGAACAAAGATGAATCCCTCCTGTCTTTGAAATAGGTTAGTCCAATTCAAGATGCATGCAATGTCATGATGTCATGATAGAAAACACACCACAAGTATCCACAAATAACAAACATGGTAAGGCACACAAGTCACACAGAGAGCCCTTAGATTTTAGGCTGGCAAAGAGTCTAGGTACTACCCTCTTTCAGTTCAGTTGGTTCAAACCTATCCTAAAAATAGTAACCGGGTTCTAGAGGATCTCAATATCACTGACTACCCTCGATCGGTCATAATTCCAGTTTAGCAACCTTTTCTTGCGGCCGGAATCATCGCGAGAGTTTAGTCTCAATGAGTGTAGCATACTGCTACTGTTCTATGGCCAAGTTGGTCAATTTAAAGGTTCTAAGGTCAGTTGGTGCTTAATGACCCCTTAGCAGACCCATATTCTCCTCGTTGCGCCATAAGGGATATTGGTACATACTAAAGTGCCACACCAACGTAGCTACTGCTTCAACCGTATCGGTCTACGCCGTACAGTTCCCTCACAGTTTATTGCTACTTACCTAAAGGGTATCCCCAGATCCGGGTTAGGATCTATAGTAACTCTGATACAAGCCCACAAATATAAAGCATACAAGTCAAGCAATTGAAAACAATATGAACTATTCCTAAGATACACCCCCACTTATAAGCATCCCCAGCAGAGTCGCCAGTTCTGTGATATGGTGGGAAGAACTGACTGTTTTTTGGAATGCTGGTTTGCGTTTTGCGTTTGTTTTCGCAAAATGTCGCGGTAAGCAAGAGTCGCCACCGACTTTTATTTTATCCAACAAGGAAAGGAAAAAAGCACAGAAAAATTCCTTTTTGATATATTTCTCGGGTTCGGGGGGTAGATTATAGAAAGGGAAGGTGTTAGCATCCTTTCTATCCGTGATTATCCACGGGCTCTTAGGTACTTGCTCAATTATTTTCAAAATATTGCTTTCTTTGTGCTTGTGGGTTTGAAAAAAATTTTGTTTGAAAACTTTGATTTAACTCTTGCTTCTGTCCTCAAGAGTGTATGAAGTGTTTTTGAAAACTTTGTTCAAAAAGTGTAAGTGTGAAGAGTTTTTTTGTTTTTAAAAGAGCAAGTATCTAAGAACCATCTACCTACTCGAAAAAGGAATCGTTCTATGCTATCTTCCTTTAGACAATGATATCCCACTATTGATGAGTAGGTAGCACCGTCGTTGGAGTTTTAGGGTCAATTCGAATGAGGGACGTGCGGTCACAAAAGCAATGTTAGGACGCCTTAGCGGTAACCCTAATGTCTTAGATCATTTGTTTGAGGCAACAATATCCGAGGCAATCGTTCCGAGGCGACTATGATCTTTTAGACAAGAGGACGACCTCTAAAACTACCTATACTCAATGACCGTGTACGAAAGCAACCAAATGGGGTATACCCTAAGAGTGCGCATGTGCGAGTGTGTCGTTTTCAGTTATTTTATCTTTGTACTTGTTAAAGGTGATCTAA